GGATGTGCATCGACTACCGCGCACTGAACAAACAGACAGCACTGACTACAGCGCCAGTACTCATCTTACCGGATCCAGACAAGGACTACGTGGTGGAAGCAGACGCTAGTGACCAAGCAGTCGGAGCAGTACTGATGCAGCATCACGAACGCAGTTTGCAGCCCATCGCCTACCTCAGTAAGAAGCTATTACAGTGGGAGAAAGACTTAGCTGTAAGGAAGGGTTCAGGAAAGATTTGGGTACCGAATTACGCCCCGCTACGGCAGATCCTATTGGAGGAGTTTCACGACGTACCTTACGCGGGACATTTCGGGAGCAACAAGACGTTAGCAGGGATAGCGAAGTATTACTACTGGCCCGGGATGGCAGCAGACGTGCAGCAGTTCGTCACCTCTTGTGACACGTGCCAGCGGATGAAGAGTAGCAAGCAGAAAAAAGCAGGGTTATTCAGCCTCTACCCGTACCGGAGCAGCCATGGCAGGTCGTTAGCCTCGACTTCATCACAGGACTTCCTTCGACCTCACGGGGACATGATTCCATCCTCGTGGTGATCGATAAGTTCTCCAAAATGGGTCACTTCATACCGACCAACGCCACAGCTACAGCTGAAGCAACTGCTCGACTCTTCTTCGACCGCATCATCACCATCCACGGCATCCCCGCTACACTCATCTCAGACAGAGACCCCAAATTCACCAGTAAGTTCTGGAAGGAGCTCATGGGACTGTTGGGGACAAAGCTTGCAATGTCTTCAGCATACCACCCCCAGACTGACGGACAGACAGAGCGACTCAATCAAGTGGTTGAACAGTTACTGCACACAGCTTGCAAGGACAACGTCAGCCACTGGGACACACAGTTACCGACCCTAGAGTTCGCTTACAACAACGCATCACATGCGGCCACAGAAAAAACTCCTTTCTTCCTGTGTTACGGACGGGAACCACTCACACCACAGCAGCCAACTACACCGGCACACGTCCAAGCCGCACATGACTTCGTCACCACCATGCAGCAGCTATGGGAGAAGACTCAGCGACGTCTCACCACGATGCAGAACTCCTAGAAGCAGTATGCCGATCATCAGCGACGTGATCACTCAGTAGCAGTCGGAGATCAGGTGCTTCTTGACACGCGCAACTTGAACCTGTCTCACCTCCCATCCAAACTCCGGCCTCGCTTCTGTGGTCCTTTTCTCGTTGAGGCACAGGTGACACCAGTTACATTCCGCTTGCGCTTACCAGATACATGGAAGCTTCACAACGCTTTCCATGTCCAGCTACTGAAGCCCTACCGAGATCCTCACACTGGGGGTGCAGAGCCTGAGTGTGAGGAGCCTGGGGGCGCTAACCCTGGGGGTACGGAGCCTGGGGGTGCTGAGCTTGAGCGTGAGGAGCTTGGAGGTGCTGCGCTTGAGCGTGAGGAGGTTGGAGGTACTACGCCTGGGGGTGCTGCGTCTGGGGGTGCTGCGCCTGAGCGTGAGGAGCCTGGGGGTGCTGAGTCTGGGGGTGCGGCGCCTGAGGGTATTGAGACTGCTGGTGCGTGGTCTCCTTGGAGAGGCCGCCTTCGTCCGCGTGCGCCTCTCTCCCCTCAGCAGCTGCACAAGTGGTACGTTAGCTGTCAGGGTCGCGCTGCTGGAGCTCGGGGATCTGCAGCTGGGAGTGGTGCTGGTACTTAATCTACAGGAGGTGGTGGAGTCGCTAGTTCCGGAGGTGCTCGTACAGGAGGTACTGGAGCTGCTGGGGCTGGCGGTACTGAGTCTGGGGGTGCCGCTGCTGGAGACGCTGAGGCTAGAGCCCCTAGGGCTGGAGGTGCCGGTTATGGGGGTGCGTCTGCTAGTGACGCTGGTACGGGAGGTGCTGGCGCTGGAGGTTCTAGAGCTGCTGGTGCCGCTGGTAGTGGAGGTGCTGGCGCTGGAGGTTCTGGGGCTGCCGGTGACGCTGGTACTGGAGGTGCTGGTGCTGGGGGTTCTGGAGCTGCTCTTGACGCTGGTACTGGTGGTGCTAGCGCTCGTGGAGCTGAAGCTGGAGGTTCTGGAGATGCTGGAGGTGTTGGAGGTGCCGGTGGTGCTGGAGCTGCTGGTGCTGGTGGCGCTGCGCAACCACGACTGTTCTTTGCTCCGGCGTCTCTGACGTCTCTGCCACCGCCCGACTCCGTGCTTCGCCAGGTTCTTAGCCTCCCGTCGTCTACTAGTCTTCCGTTATAGCCTGGCTCACCACTGCCTGCTCCCTCTCCTTATACTGAGCAGCCAGGAGGTCTTGCTGAGCGTCGTGAGCCTGCGTCGCGTCCTGTCTCGCCTGTTCGCACTGTCCGCACTGGTCGTACTAGTAGTCGTGTTCCTCATCCGCGTCCGCCGGCTGTCCCCAGCACACACCTCATGGCTCTGCGTCATTTCTCTACTCCGCAGCGTGTTCCTCTGCCGTCTCCTCATGCGTCTTCTCTTCCTGTCGTTGCTGACCCTGAGTCTGACTGGTTTCGTGCTGAGCACCCTACTGTCACGCGTCTACTAGCCACTATTGTCACTGACTCGTCGTTTGAGTCTGCTGCTGCGTCTGCCTTCGTCGCTAAGCTTGTTGACTTTGCTGCTGCCTGTCGTCTAGACTACGTCGCTAGTTTTGTTGCCAAGTCTGAGTCTGTCTGTCCTCCGTCCGTCGGGGGTGAGTGTGCTCTTGGCACGGACGTCCTTGAGGACAGGCAGGAGGACCTTGAGTGTCTTGCAGCTGCTGCGCCTCATCTCGTGGCCATACTGCTTGCCCGTGAGGGAGACCCAGATGCTCCAGACATCCCGACCCCGCGCTCTTACGCTGAGGCAATCGCGGGTGAGTACTCCTCTCAGTGGCAGACAGCCATGGACGCAGAGATGGCATCCTAGAAGTCCACATGCACCTACATCGATGAGGTTCCCCCTCCTAGGGCGGACATCGTCAATGGCATGTGGATTTTCAGGGTGAAGCGGCCGCCGGGTTCTCCCCCTGTCTTCAAGGCTCGTTACGTTGCTCGAGGCTTCAGTCAGCGGGAGGGATTTGACTTCTTCCAGACCTTCTCCCCCACCCCAAAGATGACCACTTTTCAGGTGCTGCTGCACGTTGTCGCTCAGCGTGACTACGAGCTTCACTCTCTTGACTTCAGCACAACCTTCCTACAGGGCAGCCTGCACGAGGAGATTTGGCTGCGCCGCCCTCCTGGCTTCACTGGGTCGTTCCCCCCTGGTACCCAGTGGAGCCTCCGGCGGCCAGTCTACGGTCGCTGCCAGGCGCCGCGTGAGTGGCACGACACACTGAGAACAACACTTGCGGCTCTTGGGTTTGCTCCGTCGACTGCTGACCCGTCGCTGTTTCTGCGCACCGACACTTTGCTGCCGCCGTTCTAGATCCTTGTGTACGTCGACGACTTGGTCTTTGCCACTGCTGACACTAAGGCTCTCACCCTGGTGGAGTCGGAGCTGCAGAAGAGACACACGTGCACAGACCTGGGTGAGCTGCGCAGCTATCTTGGCTTGCAGATCACCCGGGACAGAGCACGCCGCACCATCACACTGACTCAGTCACACATGGTGCAGCAGGTCCTTCAGCACTTCGGCTTCACCCGGTCCTCAGCACAGGCCACTCCTCTGGCTACAGGTCACTCGCTCTCAGCTCCACCTTCGGACGAGTCCGTAGAGCCGAGTGGTCCTTACCCAGAGCTAGTTGGTTGCCTCATGTACCTGATGACTTGCACTCGTCCTGACCTCGCGTACCCTCTTGGCCTTCTGGCTCGCTACGTGGCTCCTGGTCGGCACCGAAAGGTGCACATGGATGCCGCTAAGAGGGTAGTACGCTACTTGTGCAGTACATCGGGCATGGGGCTCGTGCTTGGAGGACGGGGCGACGTTGTCCTCAGTGGTCACTCAGACGCTTCTTGGGTTGACGACCTGGCTACGCAACGGTCCTCACAAGGTTACACCTTCAGTCTTGGCTCTGGCTCTATTTCTTGGCGGTCTTCATGCCCGTCTTCTGTTCTCGGCTCCAGTTGTGAGGCTGAGATCTACGCCACAGCCATGGCTGCACAGGAGTTACACTGGCTCACCTACCTGCTGACGGACCTTGGAGAGCGGCCTCGTTCTCCTCCAGTTCTGTTCGTCGACAACAAGGCTGCCATTGCCTTGTGTGAGGAGCACAGACTGGAGCACAGAACGAAGCACATCGCCCTGCGTTACTTCCCTGCTTGAGAGTTGCAGCAGCGTGGTCAGCTTCGTCTTGCTTCCATGGCCACTCGGGCCAACACTGCTGATATATTCACCAAAGCACTTCCGTCTGGTGATCATCAGCGTTTCTGCACTTAGTTAGGCCTTGTGCCCACGTTTCCTCACTTGCTGTAGACTTTGCTTGTACTGTGATCTATATATATACCTGCATGCTTGCTCTGCTAGGTAGAGATCACTGGTTGTTGTTGCATATGTACCTCTGCATGTGAACTGGCCTTGTGGCCCTTTGCTTGTGCTCAGTGTGTGTGGTGACGTTATGATCCACCCTGAGCTTGCTTTGCTTCTTTTGACTGGTCTTGTGACCCCTTGCTCTCCCCCACTTTGCCTATAGGGGTGTGTTAAATTATATGTATGATATATATGTTTAGGCTGTAGTGGGGTAGCCAATATGGGGTATAGCCCCTTTTTGGGTTTCATACTTGTACCCAACACTTTTCCCAACTCATTCATTCCTGCCTAGACTTTTGACAGCCTTTTCCCCTGGTTCGCCGAGCAATGCCACCGCCACTCGCTCATCTCCCTTCAGGTCCCGCCATGGGTCTATCCGTTACTTTGCTGTACCCTTCCTACGTGCCCTCCTCGTCAGCTCCGTGCGGTACACCTGGGCATGCTGCACAAACTCCCGAATTGCCCCTCTTGCTACCTTCTTCCGCTGAAAAGCCTCCCCCCGCCAAACCATATTGCACCTCGCCAGCCAGATGTGGCGAAACGTTGTCGCCACCAGTGTTGCTGCGGGGAAACCTGACCGCGTGTTCCCCTACTCAAAGAGCAGAGCCCCCAGCAAGTCCAGATTGCTGGAGGGGTCCAGCATCCGCAGCGACCGCAGCAGCGCACCGATCACCGGCAGGACGAGAGGACAACTGAACATGCAGTGTTCCAGCGTTTCAGGCTCCCCGCAATGTGAACACCTCGCCCTCCCCCCCTGGAACTTCAGTCTGCCACCCACTTGTAGGTTCAGGCAATGCACTCTCAACAGCACATCCCTTGCCTTGTTGGGGATCACCACCGAATCCCTCCTGCTTTCCACCTTCCTCCAGTCCATCTTTTTCCCCCATCTTTCCTCCCACTCGCTCCTTTTCCTCGAGGCCGTAGTAGGCCCTGCCATCATACGTTGAATCGCCTTAGTCCTCGCCGGTGCTCCGTCATCTTCGAACAGCTTGGACATCTTCAGCCTTTCTGCCGGGGCGCCCACCGCTCCTAATACTCTGCCACCTCTAGTAGCTACTGGTTCCACGTGCTCTGGCCTGAACACCGCCTTGACTGGTTCGGCCCAATCCTCCATCTTAGCCTCCTTTTTCAGCTCCACACTTGACACCGTCGCTTTGTCCTCTTTAACTCCTGTAACCTTCCAATAGAGATACTCCTGCGTCCGCGGTAAGAACGTCCTCACGACGTCCGTTGCTTCTGCCAGCTTTTCCGCCGTCTTCCTCGCGGTTGCCAATTCCTTCCATTCTTTCAATGTTGCCGCGTATGCCATCAGTGCCCATCTCGCCACTGCCACACCTCCAAACTCCTCTCTCAACATCTCCTTGCTTTTCACCTTGCGTTCCGCCCCCAGTTCCCCTGATACCAAGTCCCCAAGCTTCGCCTTCCTTAGCTCCTCTATCCTCTGTTGATTCCCGTACGTGCTCTTTCCTCTAAACACAATCCTGCGGTTAAAGCAGAGACGCTCCTGCTCCACCTCCCAACCGCTCGTCGGCTCCGGCAGTGTCGCATACGGGGAGTCCCAGAACGCGTCCACCGCCGCTTTCCACCTCTGGCTGCCCCCCGGCCAATGCTTCCCCGCCGACGGGTTCGCGCATAGTGTTGCCTCCCCTTGTGGCAGCGCAGCCGCCTTCTCCGCTAACCATCTCTTTGTTGCGTTCTTTTCCGCTAGCATCTTCCCCACCATTCTGACCGCCATGCCGTCGATTCGCACCTTAGGGTCCACGAGCCCAAAACCCCCTTCCTTCCGCGGGAGCCGAGCAAGCTCCCCGCTCCACAACACGAACGCTTTCTCCGCCGTGGCTTCCCCACTTGAAACAACGTTATCGCACGTCTTTTGAATCCTTTTCCACAGTTCCTCCGGCGGAGGGCACACCTGCGCTTGGAAGATGAAGATGGGCATTATATACGCGTTGATCACCGTCACTCTTGCCGTTGTGAGAAGATGGTGACTCTCCCACTTAACCAATTCCTCTTTCCCCGGCTCCCAATCCTTCTTCCAGGATGGTCCCGCATCTCCGTCTGGCGTGATCCAGATGCCCAGTAGCTGTTCTGGTATGCCCGCTTTCGCCCATTTAAAAGTTACCCCCTCCGCCGACTGCTTCCCTTTGTTCCTTCCGATCGGCATGACCACCGACTTGTCGTTGTTTGTTCGCAAGCTTGACAAACTGCCGAACTGCTCCAGAGCTTCCACTGCCGACCTCAGTTGCTCCTCTCCTTTCAGTATGAGCGTTGTGTCGTCTGCATACCTTACATATACCAACTCCACCGTCCCTTCCTTCTCCTTCACCCCCAGCCCTCTCTTCCTAATCTTCAGGCACAACGGCTCGATCGCGCAGAGGAAGAGATATGGCGCGAGCGGGCAACCTTGCTTCACTCCCCTCTTCATCTCCACCCTCTCTCCGACCCAGTCGTTGATTACCACTGACGTCCCTGAGCCGCGGTGCAGCCCCTCCGTCCATCTCACGAATTCATCCGGTATCCCAAGCTTCCTCATCGTCTTGAACAGGTACTGTCAGAATCCCAGCCACTAGACCACTGGGATAAAAGGGCTTGTTTCAGTAGCGGGTCAGTGCGCCCATAACCCCCCAGGCGAATGCGCCTGTAACCCTCTCCAGGATCAATCGGGCATCCACAGTGCAGATCTACTGACACCCCCCCACAATGGGAGGCCCAGGACTAAGCACAGCGGCAACGGCCTACATGTGCATACACCGGGAATCGAACCCGAGACCGCTCTGATACCATGTCAGAATCCCAGCCACTAGACCATTGGGATAAAAGGGCTTGTTTTAGTAGCGGGTTAGTGCGCCCATAACCCCCCAGGCAAACGCGCCTGTAACCCTCTCCAGGATCAATCGGGCATCCACAGTGCAGATTTACTGACACCCCCCCACAATGGGAGGCCCAGGACTAAGCACAGCGGCAACGGCCTACATGTGCATACACCGGGAATCGAACCCGAGACCGCTCTGATACCATGTCAGAATCCCAGCCACTAGACCACTGGGATAAAAGGGCTTGTTTCAGTAGCGGGTCAGTGCGCCCATAACCCCCCAGGCGAACGCGCCTGTAATCCTCTCCAGGATCAATCGGGCATCCACAGTGCAGATCTACTGACAGGTACGTTCTCGCCACGGTATCGTATGCTTTCTGAAAATCCACCATTAGAAGAAACCAGTCTTCTCCCCCGTTGTCCGCCGCCTCCACCGCATCTGCGACCACCGACACTGCGTCCGCCAAGCTCCTTCCTGGAATGAAGCCATGCTGGTCCTCCGATATCACCAGGTGAAGTTCTCTTTTGAGTCTGTTCGCGAGCACCTTCGCCAGCACCTTGTACATCGTGCTGAGGAGCGTGATGGGTCGATAGTTCCCTAACTGGTCCGTCGGCCCCTTCTTGTGCAGCAGGACCGTGACCGCCGTGGACAAGGACTCGTCCAAGAGGCCCGTCCGTTCAAACCTTTTCGCAAACTCTACCAGCGGCCCTCCCAGCAGGTCCCAGTGAGCCTTGAAAAGCTCTGGTGGCAACCTGTCCCGGCCCAGCGATTTGCCTCTCGGCAGCCCCGTGAGCACCTCCTTCACCTCCGCCTCTGTCCACGGGGCTCGGAGCCTCGCCGCCGCATCCCCTGGTAAGCTTGTGGCCACTTCTACCTTCCCTCCCTCCTGTCTCTCTGTTCCCATCTGCTCGCTGAAAGCGTCCCGGAAATGGTTGGAAGCCGCCCTCAGCACCTCCTGCGAACTGTGGTAGCGCTCCCCCTTGTACTACACCTCCTTGATCACCGTCTTATTTTTCCTCATCTTGACCTTGGCAGAGAGGTACGGCGACGAGATCGCTCCGTGCAGCTCCAGATCCAAACCGGCCAGCGTCTGCAGCCGTTCCCTCTCGCTCTCCTGATAGCCTTCTAGTTGCGCCTCTCTCGCCAGCAACCTCTCCTTTATGTCTGCTTCCGTGGGTCCCGCCATGACCAGGTGGTTTAGTCTTGCCACCTCTGCTTCCAAGTGTCTCCTGGTTGTCGTGACCCGCTTCCTCTCCTCCCATTCGTGTACCCGCAGGGCCGCGCTAAGCCGTGGAAGGTTGCTCTCCAGAGTTTGGCTGCGCTGCTCCTCTAGTCCCCCCATGATCCTCTGAATCACCTCTCTGACTCCCCTTTGGTTCGCCCTTGGCGTATGGAACCTCTAGATCCCCGGTCCGCTCGTGTGCGACGACTTGAACGCGAGGCTGATTCGGATAGCAAAGCCGTGATCCGACAACTTCTTCAGCACCCAAACATGACAGGCCTCCGTGAGCTGGCCCAGCAACGAGGCTGACACGAGTTCCCTGTCTATCCTGGACCTGGTGTCGGACGGCCTCGCGTGGAACGTGTACTACCTCTCTCCTGGGTTAAGCGCTCGAAACGCATTCTTGATATCGAAAGCTGACCAGGCCTCAAGCAGCCGCTGTGTGAGGATCTGGTTCAGGAAAGATAAATCTATTGAATGAATCACCTAGGTACAAGGCGAGGCTATATATAGGCTTGACACAAAGGCAGTAACCCGGGTGTTACTAGAAGGTTCCGCGGGTCGCGAAGCGTCCCGAACGGGTCCTTCCCGAATTCGGTAGAAGGCAATTCGGTGGCAACCGAAAAGCCTAGAATTCGGTGCACTCAACCTAGTTCGGTGCCTATAACTATAATAACTCTAGTAAAGGCAACAATAAATGCTCTACGTGGAACTTCGTCCGAGTGCCTGGCTGCGCCGCGAGATACGCCGCTATCAGCCTGAAAGCGGTATCCCCCCCTGTCAGATTTATATGACATAGCTACTGTAGGCTATAGTGGGGTAGCACATATGGGGTACAGCTTTCTAGGGTTTGTACTTGTACCCAACTTTCCCTTAGTCATTCTCATTCTCGTTCAGTTTCTCATGGTATCGAGCAGGTTCCCCTGTGGGAACTGTTCCTAGGGCCCACCACCTTTTTTTTCCCTGCCCGGAGCGCGCTCTACACTGCCCGAGTCGCGCTCCCCTCTAACGGCCCCGTCGCGCCGCCCTTTCGACCCGGTCGCACCGCCTTAGCGGCCCCGTCGCGTCGTGCTTGCGGCCCCGTCGCGTCGCCCTCGCGGCCCCTTCACGTCGCGCCGCCCTAGCGGCCGCGTCGCGCCGCCCTCGCAGCCCCGATCCGCCGCCCTTGCGGCTCCGTCGCGTCGCGCCGCCCTTTCACGCCGCCCTCGCGGCCCTTTCTAGCCGCCCTAGTGGCCCCGTCGCCTACCCCTGCGGCCCCGGCGCCGCCCTTCCCTGCCTCGGCGCCGCCTCTGCTGGCCCCGTCGCCTACCCCTGCGGCCCCGGAGCTGCCCTGCCATCCCCGCTGGCTGGGCCTGAGCGAAGGGGATCAAATGCTCTACGTGGAACTTCGTCCGAGTGCCTGGCTACGCCGCGAGATACGCCGCTATCAGCCTGAAAGCGGTATCCCCCCCTGTCAGATTTATATGACATAGCTACTGTAGGCTATAGTGGGGTAGCACATATGGGGTACAGCTTTCTAGGGTTTGTACTTGTACCCAACTTTCCCTTAGTCATTCTCATTCTCGTTCAGTTTCTCATGGTATCGAGCAGGTTCCCCTGTGGGAACTGTTCCTAGGGCCCACCACCATTTTTTTCCCTGCCCGGAGCGCGCTCTACACTGCCCGAGTCGCGCTCCCCTCTCACGGCCCCGTCGCGCCGCCCTTTCGACCCGGTCGCGCCGCCTTAGCGGCCCCGACGCGTCGCGCTTGCGGCCCCGTCGCGTCGCCCTCGCAGCCCCTTCACGTCGCGCCGCCCTAGCGGCCGCGTCGCGCCACCTTCGCGGCCGCGATCCGCCGCCCTCGCGGCTCCGTCGCGTCGCGCCGCCCGCGCGGCCCTTTCACGCCGCCCTCGCGGCCCTTTCTAGCCGCCCTAGCGGCCCCGTCACCTACCCCTGCTGCCCCGGCGCCGCCCTTCCCTACCTCGGCGCCGCCTCTGCTGGCCCCGTCGCCTACCCCTGCGGCCCCGGCGCTGCCCTTCCCGGCCCCGGCGCCTCCTCTACTGGCCCCGACGCCGCTCCACCCGGCCCCGACGCCGCTCCACCCGGCCCCGCCGCCGCTCCACCCGGCCCCGCCGCCGCTCCACCCGGCCCCGCCGCCGTCCACACGCGGCCCCGCCGTCACCACCGAGCCGCCGGCGCCGACGAGCTGCTGCCGAGCCGCCCGATCCACCCGAGCCGCCCGAGCCGCCGCGCCACCTGAGCCGCCCGAGCCGCCGGGTCGCCGAGCCGCCGAGCTGCAGTTGCTGCCGAGCCGCTGTACCGCCGAGCCGCCCGAGCCGCCGAGTCGCCAAGCCGCAGTTGCTGCCGAGCCGCCGAGCCGCCCGAGCCTTCCGAGCCGCCGAGTTGCCGAGCCGCCGAGCCGCCCGATCCGCCCTGTCCGGTAAGAGCAACGCCTCTGCCACTGCACTGCCCTTACCCTACTGTTCGCGCTGCTAGTCTACTGCTGTCATGGCTACCCCTAGTGTCCTCGCTTTTGACGCTGAGGGTCGGGCCATTGACATTGACGTCTGGGTAGATGACCTGCAGCTTTTCCTACAGTGCGATAGGGCAGACGGTCTCTCCCTCTTTGACCTCACCTGTGGTGCCTCTCCTGCCCCTGCTGCTGATGCCGACGCCACTGTTTGCTCACAGTGGGCCACACCCGATGCTGCTGCACGTCTTGCTGTGCGTCGCCACCTGCCTACCTCTGAGCGTGCGCACTTTAGCCAGTACAAGAGTGCTCAGACCTTGTACGACGTTGTAGTTGCGCGCTACTCCTCCCCTGCCACTGCTGCACTTAGCCGCCTCATGCTACCGTACCTCTTCCCTGACCTTGCTGCCTTTCCCACAGTCGCTGACCTCATTACGCACCTCCGCACTAGTGACACTCGCTACCGCGCTGCGCTTCCTGCTGACTTCTGTGCCAAGAACCCCCCCCCCCCCCCATGTACATCACCCTCTAATACATAGTCACCCGGCTCCCTGAATCCCTTCGCATAGTTAGGGACCACTTCCTCTCAGTTTACCCCACCACTCTCACCGTTGACCTCCTCGAGAAGGCCCTCCTAGCAGCAGAGAAGAGCATAGTCGCTGTAGGAGCCTCTCGTGGTGACCCTCGCACCCCCATCTTTGAGGGGTGTTCCTTCTCCCCCCTTTTGCCCTCTGTTGCCTCTGCTGCTGCGGCCGACCTCGTTGGTTTCGAGTCGGTCGGCGCTGCGTCTGCCCCGAGCGGGAGACGCCGCACCGGCAAGGGCAAGGGTGGCAAGGGTGCTAGGGGGGCTGGCAGGGGTGGCGGAGGTGGCGGTGGAGGCAGTGGAGGGGGTGGGGGTGGTGGTGGGAGTGGTGGCGGGGGTGGAGGTGTCAGTGGCAGCAGTGGAGGCGGAGGCGGCGGCGGCGGTGGCAGTGGGAGCGGAGGTGGCGGAGGTGGCGGCGGTGGAGGAGGCAGCGGCGGAGGAGGTGGAGCTGGTCGGGGTGGCGCTGCGCAGAGGGTCGGCTCCGGTGGTGGTCAGCGCCACCAGCACCAGCAGCAGCAGCAGCGCACTCGTGACATCCCCCCCCCTCAGCAGCTCCGTGAGTGGTACACTGCACGCAAGCGGGGTGGGGTTACTGGTCCGTGCAACTACGTCCTACGCACCAGCGACCGCGCGGGTGAGCAGTGCGGGGGTGCGCACTCCACCCAGCGCTGCTTTGGCCGCCTGATGGACGCTTGGCGTCACCAATTCCCTGAGGCCACTGAGATCCCCCGCTGGGGAGAGCTGTCTAGGGCGGGAGTAGCTGTCTTTGACCTTGACTTTGATGCTATTCTTGCTGCCATGTATGCTGTGACTATTAGTGATGAGGGTGACTATTACCGGTGTTTTCCGCCCGACCCGAGCATAGAGACTGCTGCTCTAGGTACTGGTGAGGCTGCTGCTCTAGGTGCTAGCGAGGCTGCTGCTCTAGGTGCTCATGGGTCTGCTCCCTCAGGTGCTGGTGAGTCTGCTCTCTCAGGTACTGCGTCGGCTTCGGCCTCCCACACCTTAACCCTTGACTCGGGGGCTTCTCGCTCCTTCTTTTGAGACCGCACCACACTCACGCCGCTTGGCCGGCCAGTTGCAGTCTCTCTGGCAGACCCCTCTGGGGGTCCTGTCCTTGCTCACTTCTCCACTATCCTCCTGTGTCCGGCGGTCCCCTCTGGCACCCTGTCTGGTCTTTACCTCCCCTCGTTCTCTACGAACTTGGTGAGTGGTGCTGACCTACAGGATGCCTGGGTTCACCAGTTCACTCCTGCGAGTCAGCGGGTGACCCACTGCACGGACGCTCGGACTAGCCGACACCTGGCCACGTTTACACGTCGGCCGAGGTCGAGCCTGTACACACTGACCACTGCATCTCCTCCAGTCACTACGTCTGGTCAGGTAGCTGCGTCGGGTCAGGTGTTTGCTGCAGCGTCTAGGTCTGGTCCTGAGTCTGCCCCCTGCTCGTGTCGCCTCCTGTCTCACGAGACTCTCCTCTGGCACCACCGCCTTGGTCACCCCTCCCTACTTCGTCTCCGAGGCATGGCCTCCCGTGTCCTTGTCTCTGGTCTTCCCCGGTCCCTCCCTCCCCTTCCTCCGGGGCCTGGCCCTACCTGCGTCCCCTGTGTAGAGGGGCGGTAGCATGCTGCCCCTCACTCCTCCCAGTTTCC